GTCATGATCCCTTTAACTTTTAGACTTGGGTGAACTAAATAAATATAGCTGTCTGCTACTCCTGTCATACATGTATGTAAATTATTCCTACCTCTGTATGTGGAACAATAAACAAAAGCTTCCATCTGTCGTACTCCAAGGCAAAACCTGCTGAGCTGCTCTGTGCAGATCTTTACCCAACATGCACCAGGAGAAAACACTGATAACCACTGAGGAAGATAGTCTGTGGCTGGGCCGGCATGATATGTACTCTGGACCGATTAGATAAGTGCTGCAGGATGGGTGAAAGTCACACAGCTGCTTCAGTCACAGCATTAAAGTATGTTAGAGTTAATGACAGTCATTTGTGATACATGTGAAATGTTTGTCTTGAGGACATGTTTTTTTTTTCTTGACACATGTCACTGAGGTATGAAATGCATAACACATGGAGTATCGAGATTGTCCTGACGCAGCACGTGTTTGTAGTTTGGTGACTTTATAAAGAAACAGCAGGTGAGTGAAACAGGGCCTTACCTTGTCTAACAGCGTGTTCTGCCACATGCGGAAAACTCCCAGGTAACTTTTCTCTCTCGCCGAGAAGGAAGTGAAGAAGTACTAAAGGGGAAGATATCAAGAAATATGACTTAATCAGTCAGTTTTAATCAGGCTTTGAGTAAGCTCTTACTCTCTTCTAATACAACATACCTTGTCGGTGCTCGTGCACACCTGGATGGCGTTGGGAATGAGCCGAGCGGTTTTCTCTCTGGTCATAGTAACGACGTCTTTTAGTGTCAGTATAATCTAAAAAAAAAAACACAGTGAAAAATAGTTAGTGCACATGAAGGAATGCTTTACAGAGAAATGCCATACAGAAGGCCCAACCCGACATGCATCCATACATTTTTATTGACTCCATTTTTTCTGTGAATTTTAGTTTTTCTGGGGTGATCTTGTCTTATTGATCACCTCAGCTCAACATAACTGTTCTTTTGTGATCATTTTCTGGTGATCTAGAAAACAAAGCAAAAGGGGCGCCGGATAAGCCGAGTGGTTTTGTGGTGTGCCCCATGTACAGCGGCTCTAGTCCTTGTCGCTCTTGGTTTCGAATTCGACCTCAGCCCTTCACTGCATGTCATCCCCCTCATTCTCTCCCCCAGAACATTCCCTGGCTGTCATCAGCTGCCCTATCCAATAAAGGCCAAAATATAACAAAAAAAAAGAAAAGAAAACAAAGCCAAAGGCTGGTCACTGGGATAGTTCAGACCACTACATGCCATGCTGCCATTGTCCACATAGTTCAGTTACTTAAGCCTACTGCAGTTTGTTTTGTGCTTCTGCAACTCTGGGGATACATGAAAAAGTCAAACTCCAAAGAAAACAACCAGAAACCATTAGTTATACTGGGAAATGGATGTAAAAAAAAAAAGGGAAATGTATGGATGCATGTTCAATAAGGACTCCAGTAGATTACATCAACAGGAGTTATTTTGTGATGAGGACTTTAAATAACTTCAGAAACTCCTCAAAAGAGTGTGAACTGACTTCTAGCAGGAGTGAATTAGTCAGACATTGTTGCATTTGACAAAAGGTCCAATGAGTCAGAATTACTGTAGCTTCCTCCTTATTGTTGTATCAAGTGTGTGTCTCTCTCTGCAATTGCAGAATTTCTTGCTGTTAATTTGCAAGGAATTGATATTGTCCAATTATTTATAAAAATTTAGCAAAATGTTTCTTTAGAATAGCAGAAAAACATCAAGAAATATAAGCCAATACAAGAAATGTAATCAATTCTCTTCAGAGTTTCCTTTAGGATTTTGGACTTCATTGATTAATATTCTAATGAGTGTGAGCACAGATACTTAAAAGCATTAGAGCCGTCACTGTCGACATGTTTAATGTCTCCAAATTAAAGAGAAAGAATAGAAATAGTTCAAATACAAATATGAAGAATATATTTGCAGGAACATGAATGTACTTTTATGACTTTACAGCCTCCCATTTCCCTTTGTCGTTCTTATTACCTTGGTTCCCCGAAACACGTTGCTATAGAAACAGAGCCAGTTTTCTGAGAGGTAGAGGCGTCCCTGAAGGAGGATGTCCCGTTGGAGGGCACACGGGTAGTCTTAGAAAAAAATATAGAGCAGGAAAAGCATCCATACAAATTAGTTTGTTTCACTACATCGACAAAGCAGGTCATCGTAGAGAAGACGTCGTGATTTACGCTCTTTCAGTTCTCTTTGGAGACTGATAATAAGTAACAACTCATAATGCACCGCTTCAGTCTTAAACTCGTCAGAAACATTTTGTTTCCAAAGATGGTAATGTGCCGTGCTCACTCACAGGGTTGTATGTTTGAACATACAAACATGAACAATAAGAAATGTTGAAACTGTCTTAAAATGAATTTAAGGAATAAGTTAAGATCCATTTGGGATCCTCAAATGTCACCTGATTATAAAATAATCCAGAGATGTTATCATGCTTAATTTGAGGGCTCTTCTTCCTCAGACCAGAACTGCATTAACACATCTTTTCTTTCTTTTTGTAAAATGATGACATCTTGGTTGAACTCCTGAGCCCTCCCCTGTTACACAACCCTTATGGTTTCTTCCACCTGTGTCATAATTCAATAGAGGAAAAATGAAGCAAAAAAAGTCAAATCAAATGAGAAGCAGCTTTTAGGACTCACCCACTATGAGTCTTTCTGACTCCGGCAGTTCTTTGAACAACTTCTTGAATTCATCAAACCTTTGTTTGTAGGTCGGCAGAGGAGCCTGTGGGGCTGCAAGACACTGTGCCTGAGGGTCGGAGGCCTGGTGGGCGAGAAGTGGTCATTAGCGATTTAAAACTAAATACTCATATGGTTGGGAAAAATTAACAGCACATTGGCCTTGCACAAGATGACAAAAGGAAAGGATCATATCTGTGTGTCACTGACATCATAAAATGATCTACTGTGAGGTGAAGCAGATGTTCAGCAGCTTTGTGGGCCTGGTTTGGGTTTAAGGAACTCCAACGTGCATGAGGTGAAACATGGTGTGAGCAATCTGAGGAAAAGGTTTTGTGTAAGCACACAGTTAGGAAACTTTGGAAAGCATGGTGTTGTTGTCGTTTTACCTCTTCTTCAGAGGAGCTCCACCTGTCCTCCAACACTGATGCTGACTCATCTGTAATCTCATCACTGCCCACTGACCGGTACGACACCTGGTCCATCTGCTCTGCTGCGCTGCTCACAGGAACATAAAAAAAAAAAAAAGACGTGTTTTAAGTAACTCTGCTGCAAAATGACTTTCGACTCATGTCATTGTCTACAGCCTTTCTCAGCAGAGACAGTAGGGAGTGTTAAAGACAGAAAATTTAAAAAAAAAATAGGCCAGGCGTATTCGATCTTTTTTTAGTGCAACTTTAAAAACAACTTCTTATCCTCGGAGGCGGCAAACTTCATTCAAGCAGCTCCGCAGGTGAAGCCAATCTGAGTGCAACAGAACTGGTTTGACTGGGAGTGGGAAATGTAGTCTTAACAATCAACAGGAGCCTTTCCGCACTCGTGAATTACATTTCTGTAAATGTTTTTTTATGTGGATGAACGCGTTTGTGTCAAAACCTCCAAACATTTACTGCAATGTTTAGCCTGCATTAAATTAAACATAATGACGACAAGTTCACATCACTAGCAACACTTCCACACTCATTCTGGGCACTGTAGGATCGTTATGGCTGATAGAAACTATCACGATGTCAGATCTCGCAAATCAAGTTGAAACTGAATGTATCTGATTTGTTTAAACATGCGACTAAACACATTTACGCACGCCGCCAAAGGCGCACACGCGTCCTGCTCCATGAGCATGTGGGTGGTTTAAAACTTAGCTGGTTTATCAGTCCACTTACCTGACACGTAGTGGACCCAGGATCTCTGCTCCTTAATGCAACCCAGTTAAGAGAACACCCCGTGTTTAGGTTCCACTCAGCTCTGACGCTCTGTCGAGGACTTTTTAATGTTGTTCTCACGCGTCTTTGTTGCAGGTGAATCTCATCTCGGCCAGGGAAACATACCTTAAGGGAGTTGTCATCTCACTGGTGACGCTCATTGGTGTTCGCATTAGCAGCTAAGGACTCCTAAATGACCTCTCCCTCCAGTTATTCTTGAGTTCTCCTGAGAACGATCTGGTTTTCGTTTGCATGAATGGTGTGGTTTTTTTTTTTCCTTCACGGAGTTTAACTTGTTTAAGTTACAAAATCATTTCAAGGCACTAAAGCGCATCAATATCATTCTTTATTAACTCAAACCCCTTTGCTTTAGCGTTGACCTTTAACCAAAACAAATGAAGAGGTTAACAATTTCCATGGAAGTAGGCAAGGGTGCTGAGGTATGCAGAGCGACCAGTTCAGCAGCACTGACAGCATCATCACAACTAAACACCAATCAAACAAAGACATCTTTCTTCCTCTTCCTTTTTTTTTTTTCCCCCCATGTTTTTAATTATTCAGGAGTCACATGATGAACGTATTGGACAGCATTCACACGGCAAAACTTTACAAACTGCACAGTGTGAAAACAACCATAAAAACCAAAAAAAGAAAAGAAAAAAAAAGAGAGAGAACAACAAACCTTAACGTCAAAATGCTGGCAATAAATAGACTGATCTTATTAAATTTATATTCAATACTCTTCTGTACAGATGGTCTGTGAATTACAATACATCAACCCGAACAATCTCCTTCAGGAAGAGCAGCACGCTAAACACGCACAGAAATCATGTAAACAGAGAAAGGAAAGAAACAGTGGGTAGAGATCCCTCTTTCACTCACTCACACACACACAATCAGAGGTTCCAGAGTAGGCCGATATGAGGCAACAAATAATAATACAGTACATCTTTTCTCTTTGCCCTCACATTGAAATGCACACACACAGATACACACAATCACTCACACAAAAAAGGAGCACAGGGAGCACGCAGGTTCAGGGGGGGGGGGATAGGGGAGGTGGAATGTGGCTCTTCAGTGGAGGGGTCAGAGACAAAACCCGGCAAGGCTTGACGTGGTGGGGGAGCCTATTCTTCCAATGTGCGGAAGGCGTTCTGCATGTCCTCCACTAGCTGAGCGTACTCGGCCTTGATCTTGGCCTCGCCGTCCTTCACCGGGTCCTGTACAAGAAAAAAAAAAAAACAGTTTAAAGAAGTGAACTTCTGTATATAGGCTGCTGAAGAGCTTCAGAAATGACCCTAATCCTTCTGATTAATATCTGAACTATTTCATTCCTAGGGATGGAATCGGTGGATTTAAATTCCTTTCAAAAAAAAAAAGTTAAAGTGCCGGATTGATTTAGTTATTAATTGCAGTTTGTGTCTGTTCCACCACTTATCATGCTCCAATCTCAAAACTCCTTTTCATCGCTGCCTGATGTTATCGAGCCAACACCTACTTCTTCTGTTTTTTCATCCCGCCTTCTTTGGCAAATTAACTTGCATTCATCATGGTACATTAATTCATGTCATAAGGGCCACCGAGGAGTCCTGAGGTAGCGATGCAGTGTCTGAATCCAAAACCCACACTCACAGACTCTGAGGCGCGTTCCTGTGCGAGTTGCATAGCGCCGTCCGTTGTGAAATCATCGTGTGTGTGTGTGTGTGTGTGTGTGTGTGTGTGTGTGTGTGTGTGTGTGTGTGTGTGTGTGTGTGTGTGTGTGAGTGAGGACTCTGACTCAAACTTCTCAATGGCAAATTACACACTTTCAGTGAGTCGGATATATGTGCAGACTTTCATTTGGGACATAAAGGACATGATCATCCAGCCCCAACAATTGTGAACAATTGTTTGCACAATTACGCAGTATGAAATAAAATCAGAAAAAGAAAATGACATTAAAATAATCAAAGGAAACATAGACATGGTGGGAAACCATTACTCATTTTTTTATACCATGTCGAGCCCTCGTGGACTCAACGCACCAACGCACTGCAGACCCGACGCTCACAGCTAATTACTTTAGATCCTGGACATGGAAAATAGTACTATTGCTGATTATATTTCCTTCTCAATATATTTGTTTTACTTTGTTTTAGTGATTTGGAATCTTGATAATTGATTGTAACTGGATATCATCTTTTCTACTTGAAGCATGTGACCCAGTCAAGGAAACGATCTTTCCACTCCCTTATTGTTACTTTTTTAAACTCTTATTGCATCCAGTGTAAATAAAAATATGTTCTAAAGATGTATCTACATGGACTACAAAGTTTAAAATATTCCTCTCAAGATACGTAACAAGGTCACTCGTACCAACTCTTCTTACTTTACAGGCAGACTTCCTACCAGACGTTACAAACAAAGACTACTGTTTGTGGATGAGTCACAGGTTACACATGACATACACGGAAAGTGTGAAAAAAAAATCCAAATATTTTTGTTTTTACAGAAAAGATAAATAAACAACTAATTTCTGCTTTTTTTTTTTTTTTAAACCAGAAAAAACACAAATATACCAAAGAGGACATTTATCAAAGCCTTAGCACACACACACACACACACACACACACACTTGAATTTCATTGAGCTGATCCTGTAGAGGATTTCTCCCAGGTGCTCCTTGATCATGGCCCAGGTGATCTTGTTGTCGCTCTGAGCTGTGGTCTCCACCGCGTGCCGTGCCATGTCATAGAAAGAGATCATGTTGGAGAGGATGCCCACCGTCTTGTAGAAGGGACAGAACCTGAGGACAAAAGGAAAAGCAACTTTATTTAAAACTAAGTTTGTACTGAACATGGAGCAAATCAAGATGCTTTACAGAGTTCAAAAGAGAACATGAAGCAAAATAAACATGACGTCAAGCAAAAAGAATACATTAAAATACAAAATAAATGATAGTAGAAGATCAATAAAATAAATAAAAAGTGATTCAATCAAAAGAATGAAGTAACACCTTGGACAAATATTGTTATCAGCAACCATTAGATCAGATTCTCTTTACAGCCATTTTAGATATGACTTTAAACGTCACTGTGTCTGGTCCAGCATGTCTTTGAACTCAGTGGTCAGTGATTGAGTAACAGTGCTGAGGATGACGTTACCTGTCATAGGGAGTGTAACCATTCTGCTGCAAGAAGTCGTCTTTGATCAGTTTGGCCACCTCCAGTGTGATTTTATCTGTTTCAGCCAGCGATGCCTGATTAAAGGATGTGAAAAAAAATGTGTTTTAAAAGGTTGGAAAATAGAATATAGAAGAAATAGGCATTTGTTTTATGTATTTCCAGCTCTGAAACTACAAGACAAATCAGCGTTTGTTCAAAAGGTTACCTTTCCGACGAGCTGCACAATCTCAGCCAGGTCCTCCTCCTCCTGCAGGATCTCCTTGGCCTTGGTACGCAGGGGTACAAACTCGGGGAAGTGCTTGTCGTAATACTCGTCCAGAGCACGTGTGTATTTGCTGTAGCTGATGAGCCAGTTCACAGAGGGAAAGTGCTTCCTCTGAGCCAGCTTCTTATCCAGACCCCAGAAGACCTGAGAGAGAAAACAACAGGAGCATTATGAAGTGAAAGCACCAAACATTTTACTAGAATGACAGTGAGATCTGAGTTTTAGTCATTTACCTGTACAATACCCAGAGTGGCTGAAGTGACAGGGTCAGAGAAGTCACCACCAGGGGGCGACACACTTGGGAAAAGAACAAAAAGATTTAATTTCACGCTCACTTACAATATTCATGTGCAGAGAAATGTCTCCCCCTAGTGGTACGAAGCTGTACTCACGCTCCGACGATACTGACGCTGCCCTCCCTCTCAGGGTTGCCCAGACACTTCACCCTTCCAGCTCGCTCGTAGAAGGAGGCGAGACGAGCTCCCAGGTAGGCAGGGTAACCGCTGTCTGTGGGCAGAAAGAGAAAACACTTTTTGTAAGCAGTCGACTGGTGTCATGCATCCAAGTAGGTCAACAAGATTCCATAAAAAGAGGTAATAACATAGTACGCCTACACCGGCTCTATGTCAGAGGCTCTACTATAGTCATTTTAAAAGTGAGGCAGTTGTTCAAAACATAGGAATTCTTAAATTATGGTTAGCTTTTTTTTACAAAGAAGAGATTCACAATGTATTCATTTTAATCGTCTCATAATTTCAGCTGTAGTTTGAAAAGCAGATTTTGTAATTTATTGGTAAATTGCGACTCAAATTTCTTCTATGGTTTGTCGCATGTTCGTCGTGTGAGGAATATTTGTTTTTTAATTCAATTTATGCCCCCCGCCCCCCCGTGGAGAATCAATCGTTCTAAACTCTCTACTTTTCTTGTACTGTACATGTGTAACCCTCAGGAGTGTGTTTTCTGATGGAAAAAATCTCCTCCTGCTTTAATATGAATGACTAACATGAAACTCACAATGACTCTCTGGTGTGGACATTTTTCTAAGGAGGCTGTTTCAGCAACGTGCTGTTAATGTTTCCTGTGGCAGTAGTTACAGGCATTCAAAATAACTATATAGACGTAATCAGTCCTGTCCCTGATGGTCTTCTTGGCTTTGTAGTTTCCAGAGAGTCGCTGGTATATGGTCTGTTTCACAACCAGCTAAAAATTCTTCACAGGAGCTTTAAATAATTATCCAGCAAATATTACTTTCTTCTGAAATCGATGTAAAATGTAGAAGGCAGCCTATTCAGAAGCTCTGTTAGTTTGTTAAGCAGAAGATTGTTTACATTTTTGTTAAAATGGCAGATTCACTCCTTCCTCTTTGAATAAACAAAAACATACAGGTCACTACAAAATACTTAAATTACAATCATTCTTTAATTTCCTGCAAAACCAGAGCATGACACTAGCCCTGAATTCCCCTTCAGAAAGTCAAACACTTACTGCTTGATGTTCTCAAGCATAAACCAGTTTCCCCATTCACCCCTCAGTGTCCAAATAGATAAATACTGGGTTCGTTCAAAATGAGATTCTACAAGTTCTGTATAAAATCTCCAGCTGACTCGAAACTCACCTGCAGGCATCTCAGCCAGACGGCCAGAAATCTCCCTGAGAGCCTCGGCCCAACGGGAGGTGGAGTCGGCCATCATGCTCACATTGTATCCCATGTCTCTGAAGTACTCGGACAGCGTGATTCCTGCCAAAACAAACGGAGTCAGAAAGCAGTGCTACACGCAGGAAGTCATTACAGTGTGTTTTTAAACAGATACCTGTGTAGATGGAGGCTTCTCGGGCAGCTACAGGCATGTTGGAGGTGTTAGCCACGAGTGCTGTTCTCTTCATGATGCTCTCTGTCTTACCATCTACCTCCATGGTTAGCTGTTGGCGAGAAAAAGCACGGTCAGAACAGCACTCAGACTTACTCCAGCTGTGATGCAACACGCGCCCTGATCGTCACCCACCTCCGGGAAGTCTCGCAGTACTTCTGACATCTCGTTACCTCGCTCCCCGCAGCCTACGTAAACGATGACATCGCTGTTGGAGTACTTCGAAAGGGACTGAGAGATGACAGTCTTTCCACAACCAAAGGCTCCTGGGATGGCTGTTGTTCCTCCCTGCACACATCTTCATGCAAAAAAGGAAAAGGTTAAAAGAAATACTCCCAAGGCAGAATAACACTGTGAGGAAGACATTTTTAAAAAAAGAGACTTTACGGGAAAAGGGCATCCAGCACTCTCTGTCCGGTCAGCAGAGGGTGATTGGCGGGAAGCTTCTCTGTGACAGGACGCACTTGTCTGACGGGCCACACCTGCACCATGGTGAACTTCTCCTTCACCCCCTCAAACTCCAGCTCCATCACCACATCCTGCGACAAACGCATAACACCATCAGTAGAATGTAAACCCAGAGGCGTCGTCTCGTCACAGCTTTAGTTCCCGAGGCGTGGAAGACTCACGGTGACGTCGTAGTTTCCAGGTGGAGCCACGTAGGTGACGGTTCCTCTGTTTTTGGGAGGCAGCATGATCTTGTGCCTGATGAGGGAGTTCTCGTGCACCATGCCGTAGATGTCTCCTCCTGTGATGTGACTGCCAACCTAATATTGGTTCAGATTTTTAAAAAAAGGTATTAAATGAATCTGCTCATTCAAACAGGTTTATACTTATAGCTCAGTGGTCGCCTTCACCCGTTCTGACTTCTATATACTTGTGCATTGGTGTGTTTGTGTAGCTCTGCAATACTACGCCTAAAAACACTCGTTGGAAGTGCAATTTCTGTCCTAGGCATGTCACCAGTTTTCAGTTCTGTACCATTCTCTGCTTGTTTGTGTACAGGAAACCACGACGACTGAAACAAGAGCGTAAAAATGGATTTGGAGGGTGATAAGTGGCATTCTAGCTTTTTTCATGATGCAGAATTTTGAATATGACGGCCACATTGGAAATGTTGTGTTGCTGGAAATAGGACGCTACGCAGGGACCAATCAAAAGGGCGTCGATTCAACGCAGAAGTATAAATCAGGCCTGAAGCTGAGGGTCTGAAGTCGGATACGCACCCGCAGGCTCTTGCTGGGAATAAACTCCCACTTGAGGTCTCGGTTGAGGGCGCCGATGTTCACGCCTCTGGGGATGTAGATGCTCTGTGTGAGGTCGTTAATGTCCTTCAATGGTCGCTGGATACCATCAAAGATGGAGCCCATGATTCCCGGACCCAGCTCCACAGAGAGAGGCTTCCCCGTCCGCAGCACAGGATCTCCGACGGACACACCGGCTGGACTCAAGCTCAGGGAAAGTTCAAGTTTTGCTGGAAAGAAGGGCTGTTTCTCTTTGTGTGTGTGTGTGTGTGTGTGTGTGTGTGTGTGTGTGTGTGTGTGTGTGTGTGTGTGTGAGAAGTATTTCATTTTTAACTTTAACCCTATTATCATGAAGAGATCACTTTAATCCCTATAATGAAGATTTTTCCTTTTTCAGAAGTTTGCTGTGATTGATAAAACATTTTTGGCTTGTAGTTTAATGCATCAAATATATCCACATGTATCTAATGACTCCATTTAATAGAGCTAGTTTTATGCAAAGTTCACATGAATGTTTAAAAAAAAAAAAAAAAAACTGATGGAGCAAACACAGATGTAACTGGTGATGCATGATCTCTCGTGTGTCTTTTTTCCCCACACCAGACTGTGACATTCTTACGGTCAAATGATCACATAGTGGAAAGGATACATGTCTCCTCGTAGACCTGGATGGTGGCCATGTCTCCCTCCAGCCTGATGATCTCTCCCACCAGCTCACTGTGGCCGACACGGACCAGCTCGTACATGGCCGCTCCTGCCATGGCCGTAGCCGTCACCACTGTCGAAACACAAAAACATTCTCAAATCAACAACCAAAAAGCAGTATATGAACTGCAGTCTGTTTCTTGTGTCCACATTTATATGGCAACTGTAGTGTTTAAGCCTGTGTGATAGCCAACCTGGTCCAGAGACTCCATGAACGAATCCAAACTCGCTCTCTCGCTCCTCATCCCGGATCTTGGGCAGCTTGGAAGTGTCCATCTTCACAGGTTTTAAATCTCACTGAAAGGAGAGGAGAGCAGAGCACAGAGGGTTCATGGGAAGCAGAGAAGAAGAAAAAAAAAACTCAAGAGAAGCAAAAAGGCGAAAAAATGAACCTTATGGCTGCAGGAGAGACAAACTACTCCTCTGTCATGGTCACGCTGAAACAACATGACTTCTGGTACCACATTTTACATTTTGATAGTGTTTATTGCAGGCCCTAACAAGTGCTTTGATGACTGCTGTTACAGTTCTGTCTTATCCAAGAGGAAACATTGTTTCACACATGTCTGTTTATGAATTGAGCCATCTTTGACCCGGTGGATATGAAGAGCATTAAATCTATAAAGTTCACAAAACAAATTACAAATCAGAAAATAGATAGATAAACAGTCAAGATTTGATTGTAAGAATCTCCTTGTTCACAGACAAATGTTGGACTGGCACTGTTCCCGGTATCTTGGAAGTGACTCCTCCTACTGTAACTATGGAAACCACCATGAAAATACAGCAACGTCCCTCCTCACGACTCAATATTTCTCAGCATCACAGGTCCTGATCTAGGCCATCTCCTCCTGCTCGGGATCAGGTCCAGTCTTACAGTCGGTGTGTGACGCGTCAGACACACATCAGAGGGGAATCCCACAGTGCAGCACGTTCCTCTTTTTCCTTTCACATTTGTAGTGCACAGCTCTTGATTGATTACCGAGGTGCAAATGTCTCTACTGCTTATTGTAGATGTTTTTCCACGTCATTTTTTTTTTTACAACACATATCTGCTGGAAACTACACTAAAGCCTTTGGGCTTCATGCAGGAGGGGAGAAAAAAGCTCAAGCTGTCATCAGTCGTGACATAAACCCATCTGACTGCAAAGGCTCTGCACACATTCAAGAGCAGCTTTTTCTGAATCATTCTTTTCTGTATGCATCAAACACACATGCTCACACTCAGAAGACATTCCTTATTTTCTACCAGACAATCCCATCACACATAGGGTGCTCTCTACATCCATGCCCTTTTCTTGTCCTTCTCACTGATACAGATCTTCCTGTTTACGCCAGGCTGCTTCGCCCATCAGTGCAGGAATATGCCAGCTCCACCAACAGGTCACAAAGAGAATTACATGTAAAAAATAAAAAATAAAAAAGCCTTCATCACCCTGCCAGGACATAACAAAAAATGACCTGCTTACAACCTCAGTACCCCTTTAACATTTACATGTATGCCTGAATCAATGTGTATCAGAGTGTTCCTGATGAAAGGCCTCAAAGAAGAGCATACAGAAGGAAGATAAGCTCTACTGTTCTAATGATTTGTTTACAGATCTTCTCTCTGCCTGCTTGATTAATCCTGATTCCACAAATGGCATGACACATGAGATATACAATGCAATAAAATAAATCACTGTGAATAAAGTTCAAAAGCTGTTCAGGTCAAAATCATAACTCTGGCCACTACAGCAGACATGAAACTTGGTCATATGATCCTGGCACATGACTGGCTCGCCTTGCTGTTTGAGTCTCTTTCAGGAAGTGGAAAACTAGCATGGTGCAAAACTGGGAAGTACAAATTAAAACTGTGTGTGAAACACTAGGTAGGAAAATGTATTCCATAAGCACTACCTTCAACAGAAAATCTGCATGGAGCATATTAAAGATATTTTACCCCCTTTGTTAAACTCCAGACCTTAGATCTTATGTGGGGATTGTTTTGGTAAAGCCAGTTGTGGATCACCATCTAGTGTCACAATAATTAAGGAATAAAAAATGTACATGTATGGTGCATCTGTATTTTCTGTAATTGAAGGCTGGGAGCTAACCTGTGGTCTGTCAGTGGTCATAATTTTCTATTTGGACGAATAGTGAAGACTGAGGTTGAGGGTGAGGTATATGTAGTTTTGTCTGCTCAGACACAGGCTTGGAAATGTTACATGTAAGTGAGATGAGGACCAAAAACATACTGACACACTGATGTTAATTGCAAACCTACATTCAAAGCAGCTTATCACATGAAACTCAGCCGTGTTACATTATTTTACAGGAGAAAAAAAAATAGTAGTAATTTAATGACACGATAATGACAGGTAGTAGTCAGTAAATGGTGCATGATGACTCTGTGACATTGCTTTGAACCTGATCTCGTTTCATTTCAGTTCTACAGCTTTCATCGAAACTGTACAACCCAAGAGAGCTGACATGTCAAGGCAAGAAGAATCGGAAATCCAGACGATAAATCTTGACTTTTGATCTTAACTTCGCCTTGTTTTCACAGTGAACACGATGTTACCTGGCTCCGTGTGTGAGTCTGTATTAACAAATGATAGGTCTCTCGGCCTGGCTGTAATTTGATGGTTCTACAGCAACGATAGGAAGCTGATAGATTTCATAAACAACACAAAATACAGCCATTGCCTGTTTGGTATACAGAGAGTATGCAAGTCAGATGAAGAAAAGTAGAATAGTTACCGTCTGGTTGTGAAGAGGTGGTTTACAGCCTTGCCTAAAGAGAGAAACGATGAGGGCTGCGATGCGTGACAGCAGACTGAGAGATCAGCTGACTTCATTCACTCGCTGCTCGGTTTTTACTGCTGGGCCGCTGCAACTGCCGCCATTTTGGCTCCGCCCGGGGCTGCCGCAAAGATATTGAAGTGGCAAGCTGGATGATCTTTAACTCGGGACCTTGGTGTAGTCTACAGCCGTCACGACAACAAGGCTTTACACAATGATTTGTCATAACGCTTATGCATTTGTGAATGCTGATCTAACGCCATATTATGCTGAAATCATAATGTAAAAGGCATTTCATAGTTTAAAGTGATAAACGTATGGTATAAAGGTTAAATTGCATTCAATAGCAGTGACTGCATCAGCAATATTGTGGAAAATAGCAGACATATGCCATCGCATTTAATTAGCTTATGTCGTACAAAGCGGCTACTTTTTGATCAAGGGCAAATTAATTAGGTACTGCTACAGTCTTTAATTCTAAAATAAATCATCTTTTTTTTAACCGTCCAGGTGAGGAGCCTATCTTTCACCACTCAAACATCTTTACAGCAACGTTTGCGCCCAAATGGAGGCGCTATGACAATTCTTCTGTGATTAATTATTTCCTTCTTCTAAGTATTATTCTCAACAAACATGATGTTATTTTGCGATGGAAAGAGGGGGGAAAAAACCCCGAAATAACGATATCCAAAAGTTTTACAAGAGGTAGTACCCTTGTAAAGTGGACTGGCCATTAGTTTGATGGCAGTGTTTAGAAAATAAACAATAATTATTCAAATTGAATGCAATTTATTCAGTTCAATTTTGTTAAAAAAAAGGACAAATTTCTTAATAATATGTGATAATATTTTTGCCGCCAGTTTTGTGTAAAAAAACCCCCAAAAAACCGTAAAATTATGTATTAAACTAACAATTCGTGATTGAAGGATGCCAATATGGCCATCTTCATATTCTCATAGACTGTAAATATATTAATATATTAACATTCTAAATGTAACCAATAACATTTTCTTTGTGGATGTTGCTAGGTAACGTTAAGTCATCCTGAAAGACTAGACCCAGGGTACTAAAACCTCCGGCAACGTACGCAGCAGTGCTTGTGCGCATGCGGGGGTCAGGGTTGACAGTATCCACACAGTCGTGGAAGGAGTGCTAAGCTAACTGCGACCACCGCTACGAGCTACATGTGGAGGGTAACACGGGAGGCATCCCCAACCCTAACTCTGTCAAAATTCCTTTTTTTACCCAAAACAACTCTAAAGTTCGGCCTATTCGAAAATAAGGAATATTAACTGTATACAATGAAAGGGTGAGTGTAAGCTTTTGAGCCTCGAATAAGTAGCTTAGCACGAGTAAAGTTTTTCTTTTCAGTTTTTTTTTTCTCTGTAAGGAGAGGCGGGGAGGAGACGGCGAGGCTAGCTAGCTGGCTAAGCTACGTCTATTTACGGTGTAGGGACTAAAGCAACAAACATCGACAGCTCATTCCTTGAATTATATCGTGAATGATATCCTCTCTCACTGAAGCAGCTTGTCGGGTCGTTTCGGTCGCGAATAGGTGAAGTTAAGTGGCTATCTTCAAGTGTGTGAAGCTGAGTCAGTAAACCTACTTTAGCTTTAGCTGGTAGATACTGGATGTCAAAAGAACCTGAGTGTTCACGCCAAACGAAGCTTAACTCAACCTCAGCTGCAGGTTCACAGAGTCAGTCAACTCCTTAAACAAGTTAGTAACGCGGAGATGTGAAGTTGGAGACTTTGTGTGAGTTGTTGTAACAACGTCTACAGTGACAAGAAGTCAAAGTAACACCAGCTCTGATGCTCCATGTTGTCAGGTCTCTGTGTTCAGATTATAATTTAACTTCATATAGTTCAGATAAGGTTAATGTCTGCAGTAAGGACTGACTGACTGACTGTGTTTGCTGATGAGCTTTTGTTTTAGATGTTTTGTCTTCCATAAATACCTCAGTGAATTCAACCTGACTCCTTATTTATGTTTATACATTTATTTTAGTTGATAAAAGGCTAGAACATGATAGATTAAAGTAACTCTTGTCAAAGGAAATACTGATGGCAGGGAACCTTGTGTATAGTAATAATAATAATATATTGTTTTTTTTATTATTTATTATTATATGTAATTTATTATTATTATTATTATTATAATATATTGTTTTTTATTATTTATTATTTTTGTTTATTATTATAAATGTTATAAGGTTCCCTGCAAACCTTGTGACATTTATAATAAATATATATTTGTTTTTCACTATTATAATTAATACTTTTTTATATAAATTATTATTTTCTTATTATTATTATTATTATTATTATTATAAATGTCACCAGGTTCCCTGCGAACCTGGTGACATTTATAATATGTTGTTTTTTTATAGCGCTTTTCTAGGAACTCAAAGACGCTTTGACAAAATATAAAACCGTTAAACAAAAAAAACGAAGAGGACAGTACAACGAAGAAGAAGAAGTAATGTAAGGGGGGAGTTAGTGGTTGTAGGCAGTGTTGAAGAGGTGAGTTTTGAGGGATTTCTTGAAGGAGGTGAGTGTGGGGGAAGTCTCTGATGTTTTTTTTGGGAGTGAGTTCCAGAGGGTGGGAGCAGCAACAGAGAAAGCCCTGTCCCCCCCCCCCAGGACCAAAGGTTGATCCTGCAGGGGTCATTGGCACTGCTTGTTAACATCTGTAGTAGTTGTCCTTTTATTCAACTCGTCAGATGCAATTTTAGGAAGTTCAGATTTAAACTTTTTTAAGTTTCTCTTTCGGATTCTTTAGCGGGGAACTGGCAATGACTGGATGATGAATTTATGTTTAATGCTCACAGAAAGCTAACAGTTTGCCTCCAAACAGTGTTTTACTGTTGTTGCACTGATGCCTTTGTCATATTTTTAACTATTTATTTGAGCAATGAAATGCAAACATTTCAAGAATAAATGGCAATCATCATTTGTATGGCAGAAGATAACATCATCTTCATTAGACATGTTTTTTTTTTTTTGTTTTTTACCACTGTCCTTGACCAAAACATTGTGAGATTAATTTGACACCATAAAGCAGCACACCACTGTCACATTTCAGAAGCTTTAACTGAAGCACATTTCACCTTTCTCAGCTGTTTGACCGTTCTGCTCTTGTTCCAGTAGCCGGATCGAGCTGGGGGACGTTACGCCCCACAACATTAAGCAGCTTAAACGCCTGAACCAGGTCATCTTCCCTGTCAGCTACAATGACAAGTTTTACAAAGATGTACTGGAAGTTGGAGAGCTTGCAAAGCTAGGTAAGAGACATCCGTCATGCATCATGCTCCCAGATACTCTATGTAAAATTAAATAAATAAAAAGCAGGAAGTAAGGATTCCTGTTTCTGGTATTTGCAACAAATGTCTTCTTCTTCCAGCATACTTCAACGACATTGCAGTGGGCGCTGTGTGCTGCAGAGTGGACCACTCTCAGAACCAGAAGAGACTGTACATCATGACGCTTGGCTGTCTAGCACCCTACCGTAGACTTGGAATTGGTGAGAGCTTAGCATTTTTTGTAGAAGTAGCAGTGCACTCTTGTCTTCTGTTTTGCTTTTCAACTTTGGCTTTATCTTCTCCTCAAGGTACAAAGATGCTGAATCATGTACTAAACATCTGTGAGAAGGACGGCACTTTTGACAACATTTACCTGTGAGTGTCTAAATAAAGGAGCTGTATGAGGATATTTTCTACACTTTAAACACTTGTTTAAATTATCGTAAGGTGACTCCTTATAGGAAACGATTAGGAACAATAAAGTGTATTTTATCGTGTCGTTTATCAGATTGATAATTTGACAGATTCTTTTAGTTTAAGTTTAGACATCTATTCTATCAATTTCAATCCATTGTTCCTTTTTGTATCATTTGTTTCAAACTGTTCTGCAACTTATAAAATTCCTTCTTTCCCTCTCAACAGTCATGTGCAGATCAGCAATGAGTCAGCGATTCACTTTTACCAGAAGTTTGGCTTTGAGATCATCGAGACAAAAAAGAATTACTACAAGAGGATAGAGCCAGCAGATGCCCATGTATTGCAAAAGAGTCTGCGCAGCCCGTGTGCACCCCCCACCGGAGAGCTTCAGAAGGCAGAGTAGGGGCACAGTGTTTGGGAAGAGCACTGATGTGCCAGCCTCCACAGAAACAGAACTGTGACAAATGCCCCACGGTTGACACATTCAACACTTTCTTCAAAGGACGCTAAAAAGACATAAAGAAATTTAAAGTACAAAAAATGCTGCATTTATTTTGCAAGGGGGTCCCCTTTAATTTAGCATATTTTATTGCTCCCTTCTCCTCATACAAAAAATTTAAAATGACAAAAATCTCACTATTCAAAAGTGCTCCTGTTTACAGAATTGCCAACGTCAGACAGTTTTAGACTTGTTGGAGGGGGAGGTTGTGGTGTTTGCAAATCATACTGTTTTTGAGTTGTTTTTAAGCGGTTATTAAGTTGTTTTGAAGCTGTAAAAGTGTTTGAAAGACCATCACTGACACAAAGTTCAAGCTGGTTGGTTTGAAGTGATGCTTTGAGTTGTTCATGAAAGAGTCATACCTCTGTTCCCTTGCCATCTGAACTCTGGAATTTATTGGAAATGTGTCTTAATTGGTTTGTTGACATGTCATTAACACATGAGGAAAGAAGAAATGTACCTCCTTGATACAATGGTAAGGAAGGCTGAACGGTTTAGAGGTGGTGGGGAAATTCTGTCACCACTCGTACTATCTGAGTAACTTCATTTTCCAGCCTGTTAATTTAATTACCCATCCAGTCGTTACTTTTAATTTTCACATCAAGATGGCAAACGGTTCAGACGCTCTCCAGGGTTTACTATTAAAGAGTGAAAATTATTAGAAATGAGAGAAACAAAAATATTTTATTGAATGTTTTTCTGTGAAGGGCACTCAATGTTTTTTGAGGAATGTTTGAATAACAACAGATTTGGCTGATTGGGATTGGATTGGGAATTTTATTTTTTTCCAGCGGTTTAATAAAAAGGTGTTTGAAGACATGTTTCTAAATGCATGGAATTGTTTGAGACATCTCACCTCTAACACCAATGGCACCTTATTTAGCCAACTAGCAGAAATGGTATTCTCAAACTTCCTTTCTCAGTCAGTTCCTGTTGTTACCGACGCCTTCATTGGGGTTTAGGAGCCCCTGCAGATTGTTTGGACATTTTGGTATGGTCTTTTTGGAAAGTGTTTCACCCCAAGGGAGCTCTGACCCCTCTGCATGTGAGGAGAGTTGTGTCCTCTCCACTGTAGTATAAGCATGTTTTTCCTTTCTTTGAAGAATTTTATCTTTTCTGGAGCTCTATATTGTAAGACTTTTTAACGTCTAAATAAAGGAATTACTATTTGCAGTAAACGTGTTAGTTATGGTCACATTCTTTCTCACTTACACATTAAGTTAAGGGATTCATTTAATAAACATCTGTGAAAAATTATTTTAGACCTACTGCAAAGGAGCGTGAAAACCATCCGTGTTTGGTTTACATGCATTGGTTGTAAACCTATCCCTGGGGAAGCCTTTGTAAAACATCCTGATTGGCCGAAAACGCCCGTATCTCCAACGCTATTGGCTGTCAGTTCCCCGACAGCCCGCCCATTCCCGCATGAAGTTAGGCTGCCTCGGATTGTTGTGAGAGATGAGTTGAATGCCTTGCTAGCTCACAGTTTGCCTCCAAACTCAAAGTTTTCGCAGGAACAGACAGTCTCCAAAATGCCGAGGCTGGAGGTCAGTGGAAACGGCTTTTTATTTGCATTCTTACATCAACACGGACGTGAAGAATTCCGCCGTTAATTCGCTTAACAGCTGGCTCGGCAACGGGAAAGCTTAGCTCGCTGGCTAACAGCTAACATAAAGCTTAGCTGAATAATTAACAGGCAGTGTTGCTTGTTTCGTCTTTTAATGTGGGGACGAGATCATTGTATGCACATTGATTGATGTCAAACTTAACAACATTTCCTGTTACTTGTTGAAAAGTCTGTAAGTATGATGTTATTTGAAGGTAATTTAGTAGGTTTACTGTAAAGCTACACCAGCTTGTTAGCATCTAGTAGTTGTGATGAAGGTTTGCTTAACAAGGGCTTTAAATGCTTGACTTCTCATTACACGTCAGTCTTCCTGCAGGGTTTTTTTTTTTTTTACATCTGAATGTGTTTTTGTCATTGCGTCATGGTGCTCAACATTGATCCTGGTGTGGATGTTTTGATTTCATTGCAGGCAGAGCACAGAAGAGGTTTAAGGTCAGTCTGTTGAATGTGTTGACTTATCAACCAGGCATCTATTGGTGCAGGATGCCAGAGATGACTGAAACCAAAACATCTGGTCGTAAAGCCAAGTAAGGATGCTTGATCTGCTCTGTATTGTTGTTGTTGTTGTTTTTTTAACCAAATAATGAGTCAGGATGAACACAGCTGAATGTGAGTTGTTTATCCGCTTTTACAGAAAGAAGAAAAACAAAGAATCTCACAATGCAGGTGAAATAACATTTCCTCTTGTGCTTTTGCTGCTTAGTCAACATATACGTGTTGTCAGGAGTTTCTAAGGCTGGCGGTGACTTTATGTGTTCGGAAACATTCAAGTTTGCTTTCTTTTTTTTGCTAGTTGAGAGACACAGAAAGGAGAAGATCAATGCTGGAATAAACCGCATTGGTGACCTTCTGCCCTGTTCCCAGGCGCTTAAACAGGTAAGAGACAAGCTGGGCGTTACTGCTGCCATTAGGCTCAACTTACAGTTTGGTGTTGTGTTGCAGTCTTGTAATATCTAACCTTTTTTTTTTTTTTTTTTATCCAATTTCTACAGAGCAAAAACATGATCCTAGACCAGGCTTTTTGCTACATCGCTGAACTGAAAAAACAAAATGACGCGATGCTTCTGGAAGGAGGAGATAAAGTTCAAGGTGAGGTTTAATTCTCTCATTGATGTTTACATTTTTAATTGTACTTGAAGTTACAAGCGTGTGATTAGACAGTATGTGAGTTTTGAATAATTATTTAATGGCTAAATTCACTCTGTTGATGATTCATTTATGCTTCGTCTCTGCAGGGGAAGAGATCAGGCGGCTCCGGCGGCAGTTGGAGGAGCTAAGGAAAGAGAGTGCTCACTACATCGAGCTCCTCAAAGCCAATGATATCAACATTTTAGAAGACCCCACCATTCACTGGAAGGGAAAGCAGCGCTCCGCCAAGGTGGCTAAGGTGATCCCAACTCACCAACTTCCAAAGGGGATCATCGTCTATTCCAATGGGAATGTGATATGCCCAGCAGGGAAGGAGAGTAGTCCAGGGAAACAGGCTTCTAAAACCTTAAGTCTTCAGCCACCTTCTGAGGTCTGCACAAATTTAAGGGTTAACGGTACCGTGCTGCAAGTCAGTACCTCTTCTCCCACCCCTGCACTTCTCCCTGGTTCAACTGCCACACCCACCCAGTCTACGCCAGGCTTGAGAATGATAGAGCAATGTGTGGTCGAGACCTCGGCTGCAGGAACTTCTTTGCCACCCTCTGTGTCTTATATCACCCTTCAGATCCCTGCTGCAACCACAGCCCTTCCCCAGCCAACACAGCCTGCTGTCCCAGTCCAGACCCTCACTGTAGCAGCCACTTCAGCCTCACAGATCCCCTTTGTAAGCCCCGCTCAGCCAACTCCCACTCCTACAGCTCTTACCCAGACTTTAAATACACCAAAAGCAGCAGCCTCGGAGGCTGGCTCGTTGGTCACACAGGACACTGCCATCAGGACTGTAAGTTACACTACAATCCCTAACAGTCAAGCCCTTCTTAGAGCAGGGGCAGCAGGAAGCACACAGACTACTTGGACAACGCTGCAGATGGCAGGGAACACAGTGCAACCGGTGTGTCAGAGTGTCCCCACCCCAGAAGTCATCACCACCAGCCAGGCTGTGCAGCAGGTAACGGTGTGTCCACTGGGTAACAAACCTTCTGTTCAGCCCATCCAAATACAGATGCAGCCACATGTGCCCGTACAGCAAGCCCCAATAACAGCTCACATTCAAGCACAGCCCTTTCAAAGTCCACCCAGCTGCGGCCTGTGATCCTGAACCATGCAAAACCTCAACCTGTCATAGCCCCCCAACCGCAGTGTGCTGTCCTCCCCCAGCCAGCTGTCGTTGCCCATCCTCATGTGTCGCAGCCCCAGCCTGCTATACTAACACCAGCATCATTGGTTCCACATCCTCATACAGCTCTTATTTCTCAGCCTCAGCCCCTCCCCCAGCCAGCGCTGGTTCCCCAACCACAGGCCACAGTGCTACCCCTTCTTCAGACCATGCAGGTGCTGCAGGTCAACCCCACCAGTGGGACAGCCTCAGGTGTATCAGCACCTCAGAACACCAACAATCCAAGCGTAGTTTTTCTTCAACAGGCTAGTGCTTGCCCATCCCAGTCAGTTTTAAGAGAGGAAATTACCAATCAGACACCCTGTCAGCATATTGTAATTATCCAGGCACCTAATCAGGTTGCGCCAGCCCCCCAGACTCCTCAGGTCGGTGTGGTGCCTGCTGCAGTTCCTGGTATGCCCACGCAAATACCCACAACCAGCAGTACAACATCTTGTACTGCTTCAATGCAGAGCGTTGGGGGAAAGCAGCTAGTGCACATTCTGCCACGCCCTATTCAGCCCCAAATGAACCATCCCCTTCAGGTCCCCCATGCCTCCTCCTCTTCCCCACCAGTTCCTCCAACCCCACAGACGATTACTGTAAATGGTCAGGTGTTTGCGCTGCAACCCATGAAGACCTCTGACAAATCCAACTCCCAGGGTGGCCAGACTACACTTCAGCTGGTCCAGCCTACCACCACAGAGGAACCAACTACTAATGTGGCTCTCAACAGTTTAGGGGCGCTCAGCAGTCTAAATCAAGCATCTCTCAGGGCCTTCCAATTCCCATTTCAACCCAGAACAATGGTCAGCCCCAAGCTGCTCCACTGTCAATAGTCCAGCAGAAGAAACCTCCTCCTCCGGTGTCCGTCACTGGAACCACACTTGCTCTTCCTGCCCGACAACTCCAAGTCCCTTGTTTGAACGCAGTCAAATCAAGGCCGGGAGTTAATGCCTCTAAGCCTAAAGGAAAGAGGCTTCGTACAAATCTGAATTCAAAGAGTGCAACAGCAAAAAGGACAAAAGCAGCGAAGAAAAAAGAGCTCAGTGAGGCACAGCCTACTGTTGCTGCTTTGGATACGCCCATGGCTGCTGCAGGAGAAGATCAGACCGTTCAAGTTGCGACATCTCAAGTTTTACAGTCCTCAACTGTAAAAGTCACAGAAATCCCCCCCTCTTGTTCGACAGCTGTCACAACTACAGATTGTGGCGCCGCTTTCGAAAATGTCAACTCTATTCAAAACACTGAGGTAATGGTTGTGTGTAGTTCTTCTAATGAGTCAAATGCTGTGAGTCAAAGTCAACCCAATCCACAGAGTAAAAACTCTGTAAGTGAAACTCAGACTGGTGTAACTACTAACACCAGTGACATAGCAACTGCAGTCACAACTGTTTACGCCCCATCGGTTAAGCCATCAGCTAGTGCAGCTGTGGACACTAAGAGTAAACCAGCTGTAGTTTCTGGCAGCGACTCATCTGCCTCTGAACCCTTAGTTCCAGAGGCTAACCAGCCAACCGTGAATAAAACAGCTAGCACAATACAAATAAAATCAGCTGCCACACCTGCTATTTCCAGGCAGAGCAGGCCTGTGGTCGTTTCCGCAGATGCTGCTGAGGCCCTGTTTTCTTCCACCTCCGTTTCTGCTGCATGTCTAACGCCAGTGTGCACAAGCACTGTCAAAGTAACTGCCCACGTGTCTTTAGATCAGGGGTCCCAGCAGAGTACAGTATGTGGTCCCCAGGTATCGAATACCCAAGCTCCTCTGTCCTACAATACATCTGAATCTCAGCGCACACCTGCTCAATTGGTTTCCACAACTGTTGCTCTCTCATCACATGCAGCAACATTTCCTGCACCCCTAAGCACTGCTACAGCGCCTTCAACAGGTTCAGAGTTTAGGAAAAGGGTAACGACCAGCAGGGCTCCCACCCAGCAGAAGGACATGCCCAACAATTCCTCCTGTCAGCCAACTGAAGACAAACAACCCCAGCCCCACAGAAGAGAAAAGGAGGCTCAGAAAGAAAGACAAAACCAATCAGCAGAGAAAGATAGCTTGGTGGCATCAACCACTGACACTCCCTCTAGAAAGGATTTTACCCTTTCACAACAGGTGTTCACCAACCTTGACGATCAAACTATAGAGCATCCCATGACATCAAGCAGACAAACTGATTCTCCCATATCTACAGTTGCTGGGGGAGGCAGAGGGTTCTCTGTGGCCTCCATGCTTCCTCAGGGCCATAGTATCAGTGCATCATCCGGCTCTTTTGGGACATTTACATTCACATCGGAGCAGGCAGAGATGCTGGCCTTGGCCATGCTGGAACAAGACAGTCCAGGGAGGCGGAGTGGGGACAGTGCTGCTTCAACAAACCCTTCCACAGCCACGTGGGAGCCCCCCAAAACCCAACCGGTGTCTAGTGGTAAAGAAAGGGGCTCAACTGGACAGCAAACAAAAGTGACTAAACCCATGGATTCACTAACTGTCAAACCTGCTGTCCAGGTATCTGTCAGTGGGCCCAGTGGAAATAGACATCAACAAAACATCACATACTCTCAGCCTCAGTCTCTCTCCCATGTCCAATCTCAGAGTGGCACTGTGGCCAGCCTCAGTGTCAACAACCTGATCCGTCCAAGTTCCAGCCAACAAGCCTACCCTGGTTCTCCCAGTCTGGGTGGTCAACAAGGCTCACTTCCCTCACCTGCTGGAACATCAGCCCACATACCCCAGCCCTCAAATAATGCCCTCTCCCCTTGCTCAGGTGCAGCTCAGCTGAATGAGTACACCCCCTTAAAAACTGCATTAATGAGGGCTCAGGCTGGAGTCAGTGTTGGAGAGCGACAAGTGAAGATCATCTCCAAGAGGCAGGCCCAGGAGGAGGTGATGCTGAACCCCGGTAAGCGGCCCAAGCCTTGCCCTCCATCGGCTCCAATTGTAAGCCACATGGATGTGAAAGCAGCAGACCACAACCAGTTGATGTTGGGACAGCTCCCCCCCACGTCCTCAGCCATCATGACAAGGATTAATACAGAAAGCGGAAGCTCCCTCTTCTCCACAAACTCCTTCATGAGCTCTGTAGTTCGGCCCACAGATGGCCACTGCCCTCCTCAAGCACCTCCTGAGCAGAACCAGTCAGGTGTGCTCCATCTGCCCCAGAGTCATCAACAGCATGTTGCAACCCAGCCTGGCCAGCACCTGGGAGGAAACCTTTACATGAAACAGCAGCAGCAAGAGCAACAGAGACACCATCTGTATCACTTACAGCACCACCTGACGCAGCCTGACCCCGCACAGCGCCACTCGCTACACCAGAGGGCGCTGCAGCAGCAGCAGCAGCAGCAGCAGCAGCAGCAGCAGCAGCATCAGCATGTGCAGAAGAAGCGGGGACTTGTCAGAGGAAGTCAGACTGGCTCACCTGCTGGCCTGCAACAGAAGCAGCATCACCTGGAAAAGTCTGGAGTTCAGCAGCAGCACACACATCAACAACAACAACAACAACAGTCACAGCATCAACAGCACACACAGCAGCATCAACAACAGCCGCATCAGCAATCTCAACATCAACAACCAACACATAACCAACAGTCTCATACCCAGCAGCACCAACAGCAGACACACCCACAGCAGCCCCAAACGCAGCATCAACAACACCAACAGCAGCAGCTACAGCAACAGCAGAGCTCCCATTCCAGACACCAGCAGCATTTGCAGCAGCAGATCCAGCAGCAGCACTTTAGACACCAGGAGAAAAGCTGTGAGGCCCAGGCCGCAGGATCCAGGGGACACCACAGCAGCCACCTCACCCAGCAGGAGCACCTTAAGGTTTGTGTCACATGAAAGAGAGTATTTAACAGCATAAATTGGAAAGGAAGTTCAGCAGTACACAGAACTTGGTTGATCTGTTTTTCTTAACTTTCTATTCAACTAGCAGCTTCTGTGATGAAATTATGAGTTGATTAAACATTGCAAGGTCTTGAAGAGCAGACTAATATGCCAAGTGTTATACAGAAAGAGGTTTATAGCGACAAGTGACAAATTTGATCAGTACATTTTAATTTATCATTTAACCATATCAAACATTGTCTTTTCTCAACTTAATCGCCATAAGTGGTTTCATATTTTTTTATGTACCTCAAATTGTATATAATTGTCACTTACCTGGGTAATTCTCAATTGTATGAATTTATAACCAAAAAATCTTAAAAGCTATTTTTAAATGCTTCAAATTAGAAACAAATGTCGAATAGAATTTAACTTTATTAGTCCACAATGCGGAAAATTGTCTTTGGCTTCTCAAGAACCAAAAACATAATGAAAAAGAAGACAACATTTAAGTACAGCAAGAGATGAGGAGAGCACTCAGAGTCCTTGACAACATCACTGTGGACTTAGTTTGTAAATATCCATCCATCCATGTAAGAAATTAAAAATGAATTTATTTTTAGGGTAATCCAGTTGATTTATTGGTAGAACTTTGAGAATGTTTGAAAAAACCTTTCTATCCTTTTGTCTTTCCCAGTCTGGTCAGGACCATAATGCTATGCAGAGGATGATGAACTCTAGGACTCTGGACCAGCAGCTCATCTCTCCTCCCAGCAATCCTGTGTCCCGGTCTTCTGATCTGTCCTGTGCTCCATCACGGCAGGAACGTCATCGTGTTTCCAACTACTCAGCGGAGGCACTCATCGGTAAGAGTTCAACCAGTGGTGAACAACAACAGCAGCAGCAGCAGCAGCAGCAGCAGCAGCAGCAGCGCATGGGTCTCCACCTGCAGCCAAGCCGTGGTGCCACACAGGAGCAGCCAGACCTTCGAGGTTACCTGGATACATCACGAGGGAAGGCAAACGTTGCACACAACCAACAGAATCGCCTCCCCTCAGACCATCCAGGGTCTGCTGATGTCCAGAGGGTCTCTGAGTGTCCACCATTTAAGGCCATGGGAGGAGGAGCTCATCAGCTCGGCGGTTTCGAGGCTCAGGTGTCTCGTGGGACTGATATGACGCCAAAGTCGGGGCCACCTTCTCAAAGGGGCCCTCAGGGGCAGCAACAGGGGGGCTTCAGGATGTGTGTTGGCCCTGCAACAGACGGCAGGAACCGTGGGGGCTACAGTACTGCTCACCCTGGCTCACAGGGAATACAGGTCGGGCCGGCACTCCCTCGCGACCAGGAAAGCTGTCACCAGAGTTTTATGCAAAGCCTCCTCTCCCCCCACATGCCTGAGCAGAGCAACCACCAGCGAGCGGTGCAGTGCTGCCCCCCGGTGAGCATGGACTATAGCTGTGGGCCTGGAAGCTCTTCAGGAGACATTCAGGCCAAGAATTCAAGCCCCAGTCTGCCTCAGACTCAGAAGGCCCCAGCTATGCGCCTCGGGGAGGGCAACAAGAGCCACATTTCTCAGGTCAGCAGTAATATGCATGGAGGTGTGCGCGCAGGTCTCCCCCACCCTCCGACGGCACATAACAGCTCTGAGCCAGGACGTTCCTCTGTCCCCTCCAGACCACCGGCTGCTGTTAGTCAGCACTCTCGCCACATCCCCCGAGATACTCAGCCTGCCAAGCTGAGACTCGGAGACCGGCCTCGATCAGGAGCTGTGAGGCAGAATAACCCTTTTGAGCCTGAGGGCCACCTACCTCTGCCCTCGGGTGGAGGTGTGCTGCTCGGCAGACCTCAGTCTGGAGGAGAGGCACGCCGCAGCACAATTGTTCGCTTTATGGCAGACAGTGGTCAGGTTCCTAACGACAACAATCTCGTTCCTGAGCAACACCTAACACAAAACTTTGGTTTCCCCTTTATTCCTGAGGGGGGGATGAATCCACCTCCCATCAATGCAAACTCCACTTTCATCCCTCCAGTCAGCCAGCCGAACACCTCCCGTACCCCCTCCTTACTTCCTGTTGAGCCCCAGAACACTTTACCCTCCTTCTACCCGTCCTATTCACCCGCTGCTCACCCCAGCCTCGCCAGTGATGTCACCCTCCAATACTTCCCCAATCAAATGTTTACAAGCCCGAGTGCCGACAAGGGCAGCGCTCCACAACTCAACAACCGCTTCGGCTCCATTCTCTCCCCGCCTCGCCCAGTGGGTTTTGGACAGGCCAGCTTCCCCTTGCTCCCTGATATGCCGCCTATGCCCATTACCAACTCATCTGGAATCACTCCTCACATATCCAACTTCAGCCTCACCTCGCTGTTCCCTGAGATCGCCACAGGCATGCCCACCGATGGCTCAGCAATGCCCATGTCCCCCCTGCTGTCCCTCTCCAACACCTCGTCTGCCGACTCAGGCAAACAGCCCAACCGTCCCGCCCACAACATCAGCCACATTCTGGGACACGCCGGCAGCTCGGCTGTGTGAAGAGGGTCCTGCTGCTTTTTGAGCTGAAACCTCGAAGTAAAGATTAAACTCTTTTGAAGAGTTTAATTTTTAATTTGAGATGTGTTCTATTTAGATGCTTAACATGGTGTTTAAGCATGTCTGTCTACTGTTTGTTTTCTCTGTTTACATCATCACAGTTTCAATCTCAGATTAATTTCCTCTGGCACAATTATGTCAAAGTTATGATTTATGTTACTTCAGAAATCTTTTAATTTTAATGTGACAGAAAAATGTGATCCTGTTCTTTGAACAGTTGGTTAAAGTGACTGTAAAACAAATCAAGTTTAGGTTTCGAACTTGAATCACTGGTCACTTGAAGTATCATGGGGTCATTAAGAAACCTTCTGAACAGTAACCTACCAATGTAATTAACTAACTTATATCAGGTTATACTGTACAGAATGAATTTGTTTTTTATAAGAGCTATTTTGTACATACCAATGTTTCATATCAGAATTGATAGATTATGTATGTATTTGTAAATACAAAATTGTTTAATAAAGTTTATAAGGAGACATTTGTAATTGCTGCAAACCAAAGAATCATGTGTTTCTTTCTCCACTAGATGGCACTTTTGATTTATGTAGGTCTGAGGGTCTCGGCAAAACCAAAAACTAGAAGAAAAACTTTGAAATATTTTTGGTTGTCACAGAAGTTGTCTACTCACTGCTCCTGTAAGGAGTTTATCTGGTCATGAAACAGATTGAAATTATTGGTACTAGTGATTCCTCTTAGTAGGCTAAAAAAGCAATTAAGACTGATGTACTATTTATTTTTGTAATGCCTGAAACTGCTGCTACAGGATTCAAACTGATGAGCTGAATGTTGCTTAAACAGAGCAGTTTACTTTTTCTATGGCAAAGATTTGCAGATCTATTCTTTTTAAAAGACCGTACACAGTTAGGGGTTTGTTTTGTCGGAAACGTTTCAGATACTAAGGCAGGACAAATCAGCAAAGAGAGAAGGTACCACATTGTCCACAGGGGGCGCTAAAATCAGCATAAACAGAGTTCCACTCAGGAAGTTAAGAGCAGACCTTTAAATTGGCCTATTCTGTTGAAAGAAATGACACTTCACACGTCTCAAGTGTTGAAAGTAAAATGTTGCAATAGTACACAAATATACTAGGACTAAAATGATGCGGCAAAAACGTGTTAATTTCATAAGCTTTTTTTATTTACATGCAATAGTGCTCCAGCGTGTGCAGCCACAAGTTGGCTCCACTTGTGGGAGTGTAGATTCAGGATCTCCTTCATTTCGATCACGTACGTCTCTGGAAAAGACTAATACTTATGCAGCAACCTGTGAGGGAGGAATAATACTAACACACCTGTCACAGCGCCCTCACCTGCCACGCATTTTGGTAACCAGCAAATGAGTAAACACAGAAGTGGTTGGAGGATAAAATTCAGCTTATCTATGACTGAGTTTAAGATATTTTCCAGAATCTCTCCCATTCAGTGATTTAAAAAATAATATATAAAAATCACAAAAATAAATAACTATACAATATATAATCTCTTGTACACTACTGGACAGAATGATTTATGTTGCATACACAAGTTAATAGTATGTTAATGATGAACAATGCATAAAACACATTACAAAATGACAATTGTTTGAAGATGTGACATAGCAACGGGTCTAAACAGCAATAAAGCACCTCATAATTACAGCATCAGACTGGTTTGAATGGTCCCTTTGTTCTGGTTGTACATAAAGCTAAGTACCTAAGGTCCAAACATTACGGATGGAGGATTTTGTGAGGAATGACACAAGGAGGGTGAAGTGCTAAAGTGAGAGGAATCCCCTGCAGATTTAAGGCCCCTTGACCGATCTTCTTCAACATGAGGAATCAAACGTATTTCCCCTCCCAGGAAAACACAAACAGCATGACAACATGGTGCTCCCTTTCTCCAAAGTGATGTATGAATAAGAGTCTTTTTCACTTTTAAAAAAAATACCTTATATACAGTACAGTCAGACACTTATGTACAAAAGCATAAATATATAAATATCTGTGATACAAAAATAAATATTTTCTCTGGTTTTCTTCTGCTTGTCCAACAGTCTCTTATGCCTCTGTTGTGTTCGCCGTCTCTGTGTTCTCAAGGGATGCTTCATTTGGGAGGATGTTCACTTCCTGTATTGGTGTGTCTTGGGATTGTGGTGTTGTGGCTGCTGAGGATGATGTGGTGAAAATGCCTTCATCCTCTAGAGAGAGAAGAGGAAAGGACGATATTTCTGCAGGAGGATGGAGAGAGAGAGAGAAAGGACCAGTGAGAGAAAATAAAGATGATTTTGTAATATTGAAAATGGAAGCAGATAAAATGTCTTATCCATAATCATACCTTGAACATGGCAGTTACTGATTGAGCGTTTAGTCAGTGTGTGTCACAAGTAACACCCAACTCAAGGTCAAATACAAATGTGTTTTTTTCCCCCCAGCTTTTCACTATAGACTGTAAAGAACATGGACTCAGACTCAGTGACGTCACTCGTTGATTCCCGAGACACATTTTCAAGCTGGACAAAGGTAATTGCCAATTTGGAAATGCTGTCTCTTTGTAAATAAAGAGGTGGAGCTGAGGCGGCCCTTACGCCTCCTGGCCAACAGCAATAACATGCCCACCTGTCAGTCAAATCAGCCAAGCCCCTAATGATGTATAAAGTTAATGGCTAAATCTTTACCTTTATATCATCAAACGGGGAATAAAGAAATCATTTAACCCCTGCAGAGTTTGTCACTAAAGAAATGAGCTATAGAGAGCTGTCCTTTTTACCAGGCTGTTATCATGTGTATTTCTGCTGTAAAAAATGACATTTCTATATTGATTCTAATGGGAATTTAAGGGCTTTTACAGTCAGCATCAAGTGAACACTTAAAGGATTTGCATTTTTTTTGCGCTTCAGTATTTGCTTCTATTTCAACACCGGAGGCTGCCACCGGCTTCTAACCAGCAAATGTAAATATCCAATGCCAAAGTTGTATCTCTAAACCACAACATTGGTAAAAAAAAGTTAAAAATATAAGATGACAATAAAAGCGACATTAATTTTTCCACATATTAATCCTTATCGTGTTCTTCTACTAAACTACTTGAATGTCTGACTTGCAGGAAAAGTTGAAAAACAATAGATCCTGACTGTAAATCTGGATATATACATTTCATTTGAATGTCCCTCGGGATCAATAAAGTTTCTATCTATCTATCTATCTATCTATCTATCTAAAAAAGAAACATGTGAACAGTGAAAACAGTGAAAGAATTGTCACTTACTTTGAGTGATGCTATCCCCTTCTTCGTCTCCACAACAGAAGCTGCCATCATCATCCAGCTCCTGTGAAGCGAGGTGCTGATGGGAGGAGTGGAGGAGCTGCAGAGTGGAGTCATCAGGAGGACAGCAGCTCTGTTCATGATGATCTGAACCACTGAGGAACAGGAGACAATGAAGGTTTATAATCATGCAAGGGCTTCAACAGGTAGGGTTTAACATACCATAACACGTTAAGGGCATTTCTTCTGTTTAACATTGTAAATCTACAGCGAGTGTTTAGCTTAACTCAATCCTGAGCATCTCACTACTGCTGCTGCTGCTCTGCTAACATGCTACTTAAGTGATTTGTCCTATGTAGTTTAAAGTGGGACTTTAAATTACACTTACAAAACAAAGATCAATCTCATCACATGTAATATAAACATGGCATTTAAAAAGCAGGACCAAGCACAACATTTGGATTTTCTTTGACTTTTTTCCTCGTTTTAGAGTTATATAATTAATCTTGAAACAATAGTTTTCTGTTTGCTACTTGATGACATAATTGTTTGATTTGGTACCAGTTCAGAATCAGAACCGGTTTTTATTGCCGACTACATTTACACATACAAGGAATTTGTCTTGGTTTATTGGTGCAAAAAACAGTTAACAAAAGGAAATAAAGCAAACATAGCAAGAACTTAAATAATAAAATATGGAAGCAATTACAATATATAATATACAATTTAAAAATGTAAAACTGTAAGAAACACAAAATGTACAAAATGTGAAATTAAGTATCTGTGCAGTTTGACAGAATCCTTTTCTTGTTACGTACCCTCATTAAATCAGAAATATCAATAAAGTCAACAAAAATGCACATTTCAGTAGCACCCTGAAATGGTCCGCTGTTTGGGTCTATCATGAGCATTATCTTTTTTCACAATTATTAAGGCACTACACCTTCATTCTGTCCCTCTCACACATTTGGGCACACACCTTAGAGAAGTTTTATTTGTACACATACCTGCTGGAGTAGTGATAAACAGGCACATGTCCATTTGAAACTGTCTGAGGCAGCAAAGTGTCACATTCCATATCACAGTCCACGTCCTCCTGCAAAAACAAAACAACAGATCATATATTCAACACTGTAAGACTGTTTTTATATATTTATGAATAACCTTTATTGGACTGTGTCTGTACCTGCTGCAGCCCCGGCAGGCAGTGCGTGGGGTGATGGGGCTTGCCGTTCAGTGTGTATTCTCCATTAGCAGGATACACGCTGTGTGGAGCCGTCATACGACCGTCCAGTGGGCAGTGGCCTACCAGAGCAAGTCCCTGAAGAGGAACCATGGTGTACTGACACGACGACACCGGAGCGGCCACAGCAGGAAAACACAAGTCTGACGTTTGCTCTGGAATGAGCACAAAGACAGATTAACACAAATTCATCTGCAAATACTACAACTTCTGAGAAGACGTGAGGAGCACTCACTCTGTTTGGCCCAAGCCCTCCAAAGACAGAATGGGATGAAGGCCACGATGATGAAGACGAAGGCTCCCAGGACAATACCAACTATGAGGTAGGGGAGGTCGCCGGGCCGAGGCACAAGTCCGTGTCCGTGTCCCAACACGTGGTCTGGGGTCTCTGATGGGGTAGGTCGTTGTTGATTAGGACGAGCTAGGGGATGAAACAGAAAAATATGTTAAAATTAAAGATTAGAATTCTTCAATAAGAACAGTATCTGCTTCTTGATAAGGGGTGGGACAAAATATCCATACAGCCATGTATCATGTGCCTGACTCTTCTATTATCAAATAGCTGTTGCCAAATAGTGATACTTCTCTCAAAACATGCTCAGCACATCACTACTTCATGACTCCTCACTGTGGCACTTATGACATGAACGAGGGTAACATGAATGGATTATTAACTAAAGATAATGAAGAAGGTTATAAAGTCGAACAGATGAAGCAGGATAATACGTGTTGTATCATATCGCATTGGGAATTTTCCTGCGATTCCCACCCCTGTTCTACATACATCAGCGTGTAAGCTTGATTTTATTTCGAACATTTAAAAAACAAAAACAAATAACAAACAAAGAAATTCTGTAATTAAAAATATGTTGAAAACAAAAAAATATATAACCACATTACATGCCCAAAAAGGAGGAGGAAGAAGTTTAAACTTATCAAGTCCTAACCCCCTTTAACTAAAATATATAATATAAATACAAGGTATTCATTTGTATTAATTATT